ATGATACTCATCGCCTTGGAGGAAACACCGGTGTCGGGGTGCACTTGCTTCAACACCTTGTAGATGTAGATAGCGTAAGATTCCTTCCTCTTGGGCTTGCGTTTCTTGTCCGACTTGGTAATGTTCTTCTGCGCCTTGCCGGACTTCTTCATCGCCTTCCCTGCTGATTTGCCTCCTGGAGCCATTTCTGTGGGTTATTTGGGACTTCGGTACTGTGTATCGGAATGAATACCAAACGAATGATGTACGACGAAAACGTGCACCAGTATTTATTCTGGTTTAGAAATGCGTAGACGGGTTCTCATTGGATAACACCCCCCCCCCCTTCGACGTACATCGATGATCAAAAAACATCTGCTCCGGCCCTTCGGCCGACAAATGTATGATAATGTAAAACCATTTTTTTATAAGCTACACTTCTGTAGTGAACGTGTCGTTTAAAATCGTCAAACCAACAATGTGTTTTTGACGAGTATGTTGAAGCCCTATAAATACCCAAGAAACGTCCGTCGCGGCATCACAACCGTTTCGTTGTTTATCAGTTTCACGTCGACGAAAATCAAAACCTAAACACAATGAGCGGAAGAGGCAAAGGTAAAGCGAAGGGAATCAAATCCAAAACCAGGTCGTCCCGTGCTGGACTCCAGTTCCCCGTCGGACGTATCCACCGTCTGTTGAGGAAAGGAAACTACGCCGAACGCGTCGGTGCCGGTGCTCCGGTATACCTGGCCGCCGTCATGGAGTACTTGGCCGCTGAAGTCTTGGAACTGGCTGGCAACGCTGCCCGTGACAACAAGAAAACTCGTATCATCCCCAGACATTTGCAGTTGGCCATCAGAAATGACGAGGAGTTGAACAAACTGTTGTCCGGAGTGACCATCGCCCAAGGCGGTGTGTTGCCCAACATCCAAGCCGTTCTTTTGCCCAAGAAGACCGAGAAAAAGGTTTAAAATACACAGACTAGACACATCTTTCCCGTTATGTAATAACATTCTAAAAAGGCCCTTTTCAGGGCCACCAATTTTCAAATACCAATGTTTGATCAATTAATAAAAAACTCTTCTCACACTTTTTTTCCACTCACACACCCATTCATTTAATATACAGAATTTATTTAGTGATTAGCGTACACATGAATTGTAAGATAAGTAGTACGTAGTAAGATCAAAACGTTCCTGGAATTTCATTTTATTATTTTAAGTCTTCATCCGATTATGAACTGATATAGTTCGGCAACAGTTAATCGCAGGTTAATGAGCAATATATTAATGATAAGATTAGATAACTAAGTTTATTTTAAATTATCTAGTTGATAAATTTGGCACCGTAATGGTTAGTGATCTAGAAATCGTTAGTTTGTTTCGTTATGGTGACTCCACAACAGAAAGCGTTTTGCGTCCTACGTTTCAATAAGTGCGAGTCGGCAATAACCGTTCAACGTGATTTTCGAAGAACTTATGGAACTGAAGCTCCTACTGCTCAAAGCATTCAACGATGGCACCAAACTTTCAAAAAAAATCGTTGTCTATGCGCACAGAAACGTTCAGGTCGACCACGTAACTCTGACGAAAACATCAAGTGTGTTCTACAATGTTTCGTTCAAAGTCCACAGAAGTCTGCACGTCGTGCAGGCCTAGAGCTAAATCTCCCATATTCAACCGTTTGACGTATTCTACCAGGTCGTTTGACATTGAAGGCATACCGAATATAACTGTTACAAGTCCTCCTACCAGATGACAAACAAAAAAGGATTGATTTTTGCAATTTCATATCCGAAAAACAAGAAGAAAATGAGTCATTTGTGTCTCACGCATTGTTTTTTCGGACGAAGCCACATTTCATTTAAGTGGAAAAGTCAACCACCATAATGTCAGGATTTGGGCTTTAGAGAAACCACACGCAACTGTTGAGCATCAAAGGGATTCACCAAAAATCAATGTTTTCTGTACAATTTCGAGGAAAAAAGTTTACGGTCCATTTTTTTTTTTTTTTGAAGAAAACATAGTAACGGGTAACACATATCTAAACATGTTGCAAACATGGTTGTTTCCACAGTTACAAGCGGATATTGATGAGTTTGTTTTTCAACAAGATGGAGCACCGCCGCACTGGAAGTTAGAAGTTCACCGGTATTTGAACGGTGAACTTCCTCAGCGGTAGATTGGGCGAAAAGGAAACGACGATTTGGCGATTCATCCCTGATCTCACAGTGTGTGATTTTTTTTTTATGGGGCTACATAAAAGATAAAGTGTATGTACCACCATTATCTACAAACTTGGAAGAGCTTAAAATCAGAATCAAAGATGCTGTTTATGCCGTGACACCAGATATGATCAGCAACATTTGGGAAGAATTTGATTATCGTATAGATGTGTGTCGGGCGATCGGTGGGGGTCATATTGAACATTTATAACCAAAGTAAATAAAACTTGACTATTTTAAGAATATATTTTACTTAATTTCACCATTATATCTCCATTTTTAATATAAATATAAATTTTTGAAATTGGATGAAGACTTTTTGAAACACCGTGTATATTCAATTTAAATATAAATCTACTCAATCTTCTTCAAAGTATCGCCCTTCAGCACAGGCACAATTACTCCCAACGACTTTGTAACTGCTGGAAACATCTTTGATATCCCTCTATTGGAATGGCCCTGAGAGTCTTCAATCGTCACAAAACGTTCACTTTTGAATCCAAGTTTTGGAAAACAGCTGGAAACAGCCAGAAGTCATATGGAGCTGGTGAATACGGGGGTTGTGGTATTGTAGACATTTTTTTTATCCTTTCAAAATTGTCGAACTGCAAAAGACGAGTGACACGGTGCATTGTCAAGATGCAAAAACCAACCATTTGACATTCTGAAAAAATGCGTAAACTCAGTTTCGTATGGACACGATTACGGCTCATATGAGACTAATGTAATTTTAACGAATAAACTTACAGATAGCTAATAATGTCTACTTTTAATTCCAATAATCAAATATTTAATAAGATAAATATTATTGACACTATTGAGAGTTAAGTATGCGGTATGCCATGTATAACATGGAATATTTATGAGGAGGCTAAATCTTGGTCCCGGGGGGGAGGCTATGCTCCCTCCCATAGTTACGCCTATGGGTATCTGTCCGTACAGTGTGAGTATTGAATCAGAAACCCTTCGATTGTGATAGTACCAGTGCAGTGCTCAGTAAGGCTGCTGAGTTTTTAATACGCAATGAATTTAAAAAACCCATTTCTATATTCTAACAGTAACATACAACCAGGTGGCGGCTCGTGAGGTTCACATTAGATGGTGCACAAATAATTTTTAAGATACCTATGCAGGCAGGTAAAAAATTTATAATTGAAGGGCTCTGTGCAATAACCAGACAGCTATGTTTTATCATTTTTTTCAAGAAGCACATATTTAATGTTTAATACATACATAAGAGAAGAATAATAAAAAGAAAAATTATTTTAAATACTTAAAATAGTGATAAAAACTGTGGTACTGATGCGGACCCGTGAGGCAGCCCTTATCGAAACGTCTGTCGCCGACCTTGCCTTTATCTCAAAAACCAGACCGTGGCACGCAGCGCCACCGCGACACCCCGTCCCTCCCATCCATCAACCGACGTCCGCACGGCAACACTATCGAATAGAGATGGGCAAAAAGTTTGAAACATCAATGTTGGTAATCGATATATTCAACAAAAAAATCGATGTTTTAAAAACATCGACGCTTACCTTAATAAGTTTTAAGAAAAATTTTATCTATGTTATATTTATGTATGTTATATATAAATTGTAAAATGTTTAAATAAATACGTTATTTAAACATCGGACTTCGGATTAGAAAAAAATCGATTTTTTTTCAATACATCGCAATAAAAACATCGATGTAGGGTTTCGATATATCGATCGAAAACATCGATGTTTTTAAAAAATCAATGTATTTTGCCCATCTCTACTATCGAACCAGTCCGTTCCGTTCTGTTCTTTCCAACCGTATTCGTGAACACATTACATTTTGTCGCGTACGCAGCTCACCAATCCGATCTGTGACATTTTTTCTTCATTTTGTATAAACTCATATTGTCATTACTGTTATTCTTATTGCGTTTAACGGTCTACACCGAGTTACATCATTTTTTTTTTTTTTTTTTTTTTATTATAATAATATCAAAATGGTCATTTTAATACATCATATTATAATCAGCACCACTGATCTTTTTCTTTATTATTATTATTATTATTATTATATTTTTCTTCTTTTTATTGTTGTGCGTCGTGCCGAGATATACCGACCCACGACAGTACCCTTAATGAAGTTGATACATGAATATTTTTTACAGTTTTAGCCACAAATAAGAAATTTTTCCTGGAGTTGTCTTGTTTATTGCTCGGAGTTAGTAAATCCATTTATATATATATATATATATATATATATATATAAATATATATATATATATAATGTAAAAAGCTTACAAAGAGTTAGTTTTTTTTTTTTTTTAACTGAGTTAATAATCATTATTATTATGTACTTATACTATCAAACAGCATACTTGAATTTTAAGAAAAAAAACTAAACCTATGGCAAAACCAAGACAGCTCCGGAGTTGTCTGGTTTTTCGTCGGAAAACAAAAAAACCAAGTAGCTCCAAAACTATTATAATTTCTAAACGGATAGTCGGATTTATCTCGTTCTTGCACAGAAAATCTGATAATAATGTTTTCTATTTGAAATCATGATACTAGTACAAGTTTCGCTAAAAATGGAGCTGTCTGGTTATTGCACAGAGCCTTTCAATTTTGTCATAAGTATAGGTTAATATAACGTATATATAGCTTACTTTTGTACGGCTTGTTAATTACTTTCAAAATGACTTGTGCACTGTGAGAACTAAGGATTTGTCACACTTTAACATAATTTTATAATTTTTTGATAATGATTCATTGATAATTACTTCAATATTTTTTTTATAAATTTTTATATATCAAGTATAAAGTTTTGATTGATTGATTTTCTTAATTATTTATTAATTATTATTGTATTAATAATAACAAAGAATCTTCTACTAGACAACTTACTATTTGATGATGATAATATTGAAATTTATGAATAGGTACATAAATTATCAACGCAGGCCTTAAATTGTACACTGCAGAGTAGATAATTTATTATGGGACGATTATGATTTTAAAGTGCGTTTCCGTCTGTCAAAAGAAACAGTTTTAGAAGTTTTAAATTTGATACAACTTTATATTAACACTAATACAGATAGGTAAGTATTATTCAGCAATTATAGGATAATTAAATACTACAGACTTTTAATAATGACAAATAGATAGAATAACATATATATATATATATATATATATATATATAGAATATAACTTAAATTATAGGTAATAAAACATCTACTTTATTTAAATAGGAATAATGCTATAACACCAATGCAAAAATTATTATTAACATTGGGATCTTATGCTACTGGGAGCTTTTTAATAATTTCAAGAGATGTAATTGGTGTTAGTAAATCATCTGCCTGTCTTATAATAAGAGATGTAAGTCTGGCCATAGCAAAACTTCAAACTAAATATGTAAAAATGCTGAAAACCCTTTCTGAGATTCAAGACTTACAAACATTTATTTATAATTTAGGTATATTTCCATTAGTAATTGAAGCAATTCACTGAATGCAATGTATGCTCTATTGCAGAGGCGGCCAAACTTTTTTCGGCTACAATCTACTAAAAATATACTTCACCTTTGAAGATCGACTTTCTTGGAAAAATGTTTTTATTATTAAATAATTATAATTATTAAGAAACATACTTGCTTAAAATATATATAAACATACATAAAGTATTATAAACTAATTAATAATTACTAAAAATAATATAATAATTTCTAAAATCTAAATACTTGAATCTAATTAACATTTTAATATTTATTTTGTTGATCAGGACACTGTCGAATTGTACGTGGCCTAAAAATAAATTCTAACATGATCGGCTCTGTAATCGTCCGTGATCGACTGGTCGATCGCGATCGACCGTTTGGCCGCCCCTGCTCTATTGCATATGCGTGCGTAGACCTCTTTTTCAAAGTATGCAAAAGATTGCCACTGCCTATGCTTGCCATCATCAAACGTTAATTTAAGCGTTCAAAATGCTGGTAAAAATATTTACACAAATGTCAATATAACTGTTTATATTAAAATTTTAATGTTTTCTAAAAAAAAAGTGATTGGATAATCATTTATATATTGTTATAATATTCTTCATAATTTATATATTCACAATTTATATAAATAAATAAATATCTAACACTTGCAATAGTTTGGGTAATATATTTAAATAGGGTAAATAAACAAAGATATAATAATTTAAATGAAAAAGCAGAATATATTTATTAAATAATTATAGATTATTGATTATAAACCAATTCTCTGTTCATATTTAATATCACCAATAATGTCTTCGGGATTTTAATTTAAAGCCCTTTCTTGCTCTGTATTTCAAATATTAGGTACGAAATAAATACTTCTTAATTTAATTAACACATTAAATGCTTACTATAGTAAGTACTTTATTAGTAACTTAGTTATTTATTTATAAAAATGTCCAGGGGCCTGTTTCATAAAAAAGACAAGTCGAAATAGACCATACGTACACTTGTAAATTTCATTCACTTGTTAACTTTGTGTTTCATATAATATACAAGTTGACAAGTTGACCTATGAAAAGTGACAATTAACAAGTTAAAGATAACCTGGTAAATATTGTAAAAAAACTTGTTTTTCGTTTCATAAACAACAATGATTTGTAAAATATATTGAAAATATGATAACAATTTGACCAGTCTTTAGGTATAGTTTTTTAAGTGACAATTGTTATTAATATTATTATATTATATATATATTTCATTATATTATTTTTTAACATTTAGAGGACTTTTTTTTTAATGTGGTTATCTTCATCATCAAGTTCTTCTGACAGCGACGATGAAAATATTATCATTCGTCGAATAAGAATATTCCGTCCAAGAATTAATAATTATTTTATGGCTGAATATGAATACAACGAACGGTTCAGAATGAACTCAGTGAAGTTGGAGTACATTATCAGCTATATAGGGCATCTTCTAGTTCATCATACAAACAGAAATCATGCATTATCCCCTATTCAACAAGTAAATTTATACTTACATTTTTTGGGAAGTGGTACTCAGTATCACTCTATTGGTGATATGCATGGTGTATCAAAAGTTACTGTTTGTCGTGTAGTAAGACATGTGACAAAAGCCATAAATGAGGTACTTTTTGCACAATTGGTTCGATTTCCAAATGATTTAGTAACTGTTGTTCAACATTTCCATAGTATAGCTTCAATACCCTTAGTTATAGGTTGTGTTGATGGAACTTTAATTAAAATTGACGCACCATCGATAAATGAACCGGTGTTTGTTGATAGACATGGAAATCATTCTGTTATGTGTACAGCAGTTTGTGGACCAACTATGTAATTTTATTATGTAAATGCTAACTGGCCAGTCTCAGTACATGATGCTAGAGTCTTACGCAATAGTCCATTGTGGGCTAAAATGGAATCAGGTTGTAGACCAATTGAAAATGGGATTATACTTGGCGACAGCGCATATCCTTTAAGAGATTGGCTAATACCACTTACTATAAGAAACCCAAATGATACAGCAGAACTGTCATTTGTTCGACGTCATAAAAAAACAAGACGAATAATTGAAAATGCTTTTGGAATTTTAAAAGAAAAATTTCCATGCTTAAATTACATGAGACTTGGACCTGAACTGACCTGCAATATATTTCAAGCATGTACTGCCTTATGTAATTTAGCTAGGGAAAATGATGAAGATCTTATGTTGGAAGAATTTGATAATAACAGTAGCAATGATGAATTAAGTGATGATGAACCAGACAGAGAAGTACAAGATTTTCCATTAGGGAATGGAGAACATAGGTTGCAAGAGATAATTAACAATTTTAGATGATTTCATCATACTTAACATGAAATCACATTTTTATCTAGATTAAGTAAATTAAATAACTTATAGTAGGAACCTATGTTATTAAAAGTTGAAATATAAAATATAAATCAATAACTGTTAATGTAAAATATTTATCAAATTTGCATTAAAATTAAAAAAAAAATTCAGAATATGAATATAATATAATTAGTAATTATTGAAGTAATATTATGTAATATTATGTTATCAATAAAATAATTATTTTGATGCTATTCTTATGAATATTATACAAACAAAAACATAATTAAAATAAATTAACATAATATGATATTTAAGACATTTGGGATTTAAGTAATTAAATTGAGATCCATAACTTAGGAATGAAATAGTTTTATCACAATATAATAATATTTAAAATTTAATTACAAATAACAAATACAAATTTAAAATATATATTGATTAATAAAAAAAAACTTGTTTAGAGTTTAATATAACTAAATTGAGATCCATCTATAAATTTCATTTGCCAGTTTTATGTTCCAGTACTAAATCAAATGTATACTTAGAATGTTCCAATAATAATTTATTTTCTAACTGTAATATTTCCAGAGTTTCTTTGTAGTTTTGTTTTTCAAGCCATTCAACTTGAAGTTCTAACTTCCTACGCTCTAAGGCTGTTAATTCATCCATATTGTTATATTGTTTCGAAGAACTGGCTACTACTACTCTTTTCTTTGCTATAAAAAAAATATGTGTAATGAATAATGATGCAAAATAATAATATTGATAATTTAGACCTACATTACATGATGCAAACTTACATTTTTCAATATTTTTAACATTATCATTTGGAGATGAATTTCTAATAATATTTATGGTTGACGTATCTGGTGAATTAGACTGGTTAAAATTTACATCATTTGCCACCACATTCTCATTAGTACACTCTAGTATAGTTTCATGAGTATGATGGCCTAAGGAATCTTGTACACCTAGACCCTGTACAATTGGTGATTGCCAACCAATTATGTCTAAAACTAATTCATCAGTTGTAGTAAGTTTGCAATTTTTTCCTCCTGCAGAGCCAGTTTTAGGTCCAATTTTAAGCTATAATAAAAATATGCTGAAGTTATCATCCAGACTTGTATTTATTCCATACATAAATCTAGATAAAATATTGAGGTATTTATATGTATGTGTGTGTCTGTGTAAAATTGTCATGAATACGAGTATAATATTGTAATATGTTTATTTTGACACATTGAAGTAAATTGTTTACTATCTACAAAGGCAATGTTAGTCGCCCCCCATACAAAATTCCTGACTACGCCACTGGATAATATTGGTTGTTATAAATTATTATTCAGTTATAATAAAATTGTTAGAAATTCAAGGATGATAAAAATAAGTAAGTACATTACAAATTTGATGTAGGTACTTAGCACGATCACGTATCACGTAAATATGTCCAATCATTTCCCTTATTTTCAGGCAGTTTGTGACCCAAACTTTTAGCAATGTCTAAAACTTTTTTCCATGCCTGCTCCTTATCTTGATGAGAAAGCTGACTTGAAAAAGCATCAAACAACACATCTTTATGCTCTTTAATAGAAGTTAGAAGTATTTCGTTTGTTACTTTGGTCATTTTTAAAAATATATTTGTAGAATTAGTATATAGTATGTAGGTACAACTGTGATTCAAAATTTCAAATTAATAAACCGAAATATTATCATACAATGCTTATCAGGCTTGTAAAAATAAACAGCTGACTTATAAATCCCTATTTATTTAAGAAGTCATTTTCGACTAGAATACATTTTTATGAAACAATGTTGAATTGGACTTGTCTGTTTTTACATGTTACTTGTCACTTGTAATTTTCAAACTTGTTTTTTTTATGAAACAGGCCCCAGGACTGAATATAAAAATATAATAAAAATCATAATGTAATACAAAATCACATAATATACATTTAAAGACCAAATACGTTATGATTTTTATTTATTTTAAGTATTTTTAGAAAAAAGACTCCATGTGAAGGGTATGCAGATGCATACCCTGCATATCCCCTGCGTACGCCTATGCTCTATTGATATGCTTTGGTACACCGAATTGTCCCAGAATACATAGAATATTTGTTATTGAAAATAATGCTATCAGCATTCGTACATTATATAAATAATTATTATTATTGTACAATACGTATTGATATGGAATTTATCAGACGTCGCTAGCATGGTGTGCTTCAATATTTCATAAGCTATGGAGCTACAGAATCATCCAACCGAGCCCAAGCAGCATCGCAGTTCTATAAAAACTCCTTATTACAATTCCGTCATATCAGGAAGATAGGGCGTAATGCTCAATCCAATGTGAAACCACGTAATATTAACCCAATAGTTTTTAAGTATATTTAATCTCAAAAATACAAATACCCATTTTTATTTAAATAAACATATAAACATAGGTGAAGCCAGGGGGACTATGGAAATAAAAATTTATTTTCTACTTTTTCGAAGATAGCTATTTCTCTTTAGAAGTTCACATATGTACATAGCTTTCTTGCATACACTAAACACGAAGTCTAGCTACGTCTATGTATTTAACTGTGAGTAAAACTCATGAATAAAGATTATGTAGTTTACACAATGCACATCGGTATACGTTAAAACGTTATAAACATGAATATGTGATTATGACTTAAAAATGTATAAAATATATCTAAAATTCATAATAAGTAAGGATTTGCATTAACTTATTTTTTAACAATTTGTTAAAGAGCTCTATTAAAATTGTTAAAACACTCATTGTTGATATTTTAAATTAACGCAGACTATTCGGATTAAATAGTTTTTTTATTGTCAGCCATGTAATGTTTACAAGCCCAGAGTATTAAATTAGTTATTAAAAAGGAATATAATTTAAATAATCGTTTATTGATGCTTAAATAGCTTAAATAATTTATACGCTGTGTCTGAATTTCGGTGAAACATTTCGTCTTGAACGGCTGCCAGGTCCACCGGATAATCCAGCCTATAAAAAATTGAAATATTTCACATTAACACTAATATCTATTACATTTTTGAAAACCAAATATGTATCACTCGAATGTACACAATGGTCATAATAGAAAAACCATCAGAGAATATTTGAATATAAATATCTCTCGACTACCGTCGTGATCTGGAAACAACGTATAGGTATTATCTGTGCAGCTTACTTTTTGAGCTTCCTCTACGATGCAAGTAGTTACGACACCGGCTAAAGTACATTCATCAGACGCGGATTGCGCTGAAAACGGTACTCGAATTAGAATACATTTAATCATCTCAAGGAGAATATTGCATATAAATAATAAATATTTTATTAATTCATTAATCCGTTATTTATCAAGACTTAAAAATGTCTGGTGGTTGTTCGACCTTAGTTGAAGGTTTTTTTAAACATGTATAGCATGTGTTTTAACGAACAAAATGTAATATAGTTATATTTTTATATTTCTTTAAATCATACTCAATAAACAAATATTATCGGTCACAGCAATATAAAATATTCATAGGTACCTCACAATATCAACCATCTTATAGTAAAAAGAAACAAAATTAACCGTTTCGGTTCTTTCCACGGGGAAATTAAATAATATCCAGGATTAGGGATCGATTATTTAAAATGAAAATCGAGTCGCACTATTATTAGTTAGTATTCACTGTTGATATTATATGAATATTGAAAATTGGGTTAAAATATTTGGATGTCATATCAAAAATAATTAAATTCAATACTTAGGTATCATACTTTCAGGTTACATAATTTTTCATGTACGCAACAGTCAAGAAAGGGAACTAAAAATTAAGGAAGTTGATAGACCAGACGGTGTTCGAAAATAGTTCAATAACATCGGTGTGCGTATATTTATTTATTTATTTTGGTACCAAAAGATATATCTATTTTTTTTTTTTTGATTCCAAACGATTTCACGCAAGATTTTTGTTAGTACAAGTTACCCGTAGCACAATAAAAGAACAAATCTAAACCCGAGTATAAATTTATGGTGAATCAATTTAATTTAAGAAAACATGAAACTGCTAAAAAGGTGTTTCACCGTAATACCTTTATTTTATTTATAATCAATTATCAGTAATCAGATTCAAAGAGATAAGTCGATTTATACTTGTAGCATGCTACAAATTTATAAAACATTATGTCTTATGCATTTATTACAGCTTGGAAAAAAACATATAATTACAATACAATATTATAGCATTACAATTTATTATCGTTATTATTATTGTTATTACCTTTCTTTGCGCAGACGTCGATCAAGTCCTTTGCCTTTTTCATCATCGTTTGGTTTGTCCCGTAATACGTCTGTGCTACTTTGGTTGCCTCTTCCACCGAAAACTTGCCTTTATTAATCTGACCACCACACATGAAACGTATAATTAATCCATGTCTAACATAATAAGTACGTGAGCATTTATAATTTACTTACTACATTAACTTTTCTCATCAAGCAACCCATCATACACTAAAAATAAAATGTTTGAAAATAAATGTTTTTACGTTTTAAAATAATTATACTTAATTTAAAAACATACTTTTTCAGCTTGTGACTTTGGTATACTCATCGAGCGAAACCCTTTAAGTGCGTCTAAAATTCAGTAATTAATCATTTTATAACGTTATTTGATGTTTATATCGTATCATACACCACACTGGAGTGTTCAAACAAATTAATATTATTATGAAAAAAAAAAAAACCCTTAAAATGGCATTTTCTTATTTGCTTGGCATAACTGAGGATATTTCTAATATTATGGACTTGGAAGTACTTCAAAAAAGTAGATATTTTAGAAATTTTTATCATAAATACATCGTTTTAAATTCAACGAAATTAAGAAATAAATATTAAAAACAAATAATATATCTAAAAAATGTTATAAAAAATTTAAAAAAATAAATTATATTTATCGGTCATCTCAAAATTTAAAATGTTTATAAATCATTGATATCAAAATCAATAATAATTTTAAATGATTTAAAACCCATTCTCGTGGTGTCAATCACGTATAACTTTTATAACGGTTAAATTCTCAGACCTTAGCAATATTATAAAAACGCTTTCATTATCTTGGCACTTTAACAAGAACAGAGGGGTTCAGTTGAGGTGTACCTATATTTTATAGGAAGACATACATTGTGTGTGTGTTTTAATTGAAGTCGCAAACATAAAAATAATTACTTCGTATACGCGATACCGCGATTGATATTATATCGATGTTATTATCATAACGCTATCAATATCATTATTAATAATATCATTATCGATACCAATATAAATGCATATTAAGCAGTAATCATAAGTGTAATTATTTAAAATATCAATTACCGCCAGATAGCTTTGTTTCTGCAATGCAACTCTGGAATATTGACGCGGAACGGTCATTTGAGTTTTGTGAGTTGTTGTCGCACTAGAATAATAAATACTTTCATTTAGGTAAGTCTCATATATAGTTTCTATGTGAATACATGTATCTGTTTAAAAAGTTATTAATTTTTACCCTAGCAAATGAATACAAGGATTCAATTCCGTATATTATTGCAATGAGTATAAAGATTAACATTTTATTTTATCATTTTATCAATTTCTATATATTAACGAATAATTATATTCTGTATGTACCTAAAACGTTTTTACAATATACTAATTTTCTTATAAGCTGTTCATTAAACACAGAAATATTTTCAGAGAACACGTAATAGTATGCTTATTCGAACGGAATATTTTCACCTAAAAATTTTTTTTCTGAGTAAAATTCATGATCTAAAGTAGTTACCATATTTTTTAGTTATTTATCGTACTCTCTACAAATAAAATACATCTAGTTTATTTGGAACAAGTATTAAACAAAATTAAAACATTAAATTCCGAACACAATGTCATACAATTTACTATGATAAAATAGTAATTTTAAACTTTGTACAGTTTATTGTAAAAATCGAACAAGGGCACCGTACAAGAACATTAATAAAATTCTGTACCTCGCATTTACCAGCTTTTATTCAATAGAAAATATGTGCAGTAACTTTTTCTTTAAATTATGTTATCTATTATGGCAATACGAGTATTTTATTCCAATGAACGAATATGATTTTGTAAAATATGTACATTTATTGGAATTTTTCTCGTTAATATATTCGTTAACAATATACTGTATAGATATTAAAATAATTTCAATACAATTGTATTTTTTATGAAAGAGTTAAAAATTCGAATAACTATGTACATAATATTTAATATAGTTTAAAAACTAACACTATGGTGCGGTATACATACAATACTATACTCTACAATGTAGAAATATGTTGTTGGACTTACAAAAACGATGGTAATGGTCCAGCACAACAACACTACTTTAAGTGCGTACATCTTGGCGTTAGTTGATCGGTATTTGCGAATTTTTAGTTATACTATTATGATTTATCACAGACACAGTTCGACGAAGGAATAATTCGTTTTACTTCACTTTAATGTTTATATACTGTACGACCGAGTAAAAAAAAAAATAAAAATAAAAAAAAAGGAGTAATTAAAACTCGAGGAATTTCCACTCCCAAACGGAAATCGTCACAATAAAATAGTTTTAAAGAATTATAATTGTTCTAACGATTGAATATAAAATGCCATATCATCGTTCACCAATTGCATCACAGTATTTTATATTTGACATACATAATTATTTTGATATTTTACAATTTTGTACGATAAGTACAAACGTGTCAAGGATATCGGATCAAGGAAACCGGAAAATATCATTTAAATCCTAAAGTGTGACAGTCAAATAACTATAGATTATAATGTAAACGCTTAAAAATTAAATTACACAGAAAACCTTATCAGGCAATTAACATGACACAACATCGCGAATTGCTATTCTAAAAAAATAATGTTCGATGTGCTTCTCGAATATTTGTTCCAATCCTTTGCAGTGCCCGCCATTACAATACATTCGCCTGAAAGAACAAATTTTATTAATTTCACGATAAATAAATAAAGTGCAAAAATAATAATAAAAAAAATGTCTATAATTTTGTTTCTCAACGAAAACTTACGTCTTTTGTTCGTTTGTTTATGCATGCCGTCACTTCATAAGCATATCCACAAGTCGCAATAACGTCTAATGATACTTTTTGAGCTACAATCAATAAATTTATTATTTTATTTATTTTTTTTTTAATACATATTTTGTTGGATCACAATAAGTTAAACTAACATGAACGCGCATCTATTAAGCCTTTATTTATTTTTCTAACATAATGATAGGAATTTATATTTTGTTTATTACACAGAGAAATCGGCGACAGCTTATTAATTATCAAAAACCGTTTAACTGTTTTTTATTGGGGTGATATAAAATAGTATCTTGATTTCGACATGATTACTGATTACGTCCGTATAGAATTCCAAACATTTGTTGCGAATATTTAAAAGAGGATTTTTTAAAAAAAAGATTTTGACATTTGTTAAAATTTGATCTTTAATGCAATCTATCTTCATTTAGAAAACAGTACGTATTGCATCTTGTTGAAACTTGAACATAAATGAGTAAAAATAAATATGCTCTGTTTTCACGATTTTTAGTTGTTTAAAAAATACTTCCGTTATTATTTTCATTCGAGCCATAAAATAGCCATTTACGATTTGCTTTGAGTAATTTTGCTATTCCAGCTTATGGGATGTCATATTTTTCAAGCCAATTCACGCTTTTTCGGCATCGAAATATTCATATAATGACTAATCATCATTGATATAAATCGAAAATTACAAAAATAAAACAGATAGGTATTGTTTTACATACCTTCTTCGTAACAACTGTCATTAATTTTATTTATCAAGTCTTCGGGCCATTCCGACCAGTGCTTCTTCAACGCTAATTTTGTTCCAGTTTTATTGTACGTACCGTCGTCGTTCAACTGAAACAAATCGAACGCATTCAGAGCAAGTCCACTTTTATTTTACACAAAATACAATGTCACCGGGAGAGAAAATTTACCATTCCCAATTTGTTGATCATGCACTTCATCAAACACTGAAAAAAAAAATAAAAATAATTTCAATTTCACACATACAACAAGAGAAACGACAGTATTAATAATAATTATACATTGAACTTTGAAATGAATTAATATATTAAGTGGTTTTTATATATTTATATATATATAGTTTCACGTGATGTAGGTGAATTGTTTCTTTCGTTTCTTTATCGACCTAATTATTACGTGCTAACCGCAATAAATTCAATACGTGATCGATCAAAATGAATAATGCATTTAGACAATTGCTCTTAAACCAATTATACTACTGAATCAACGATAAATTACCTTTCCACTTTCCGAAGTTGGTACTGCATAAGATTTAGCTATGACAAGATCATCTAAAAAACAAATAAAAAAAAAATTTTCACTTTGATATATTGGAAAGAACATAGTGCATTTTTTTAAATACTGATTTTCTGTGTAAAAACTTTTTTACTTTGAGGAATAGACTATACCATTTACTATACCAGGACAGGGGCATATTTTAGGAGGGGGATTGCCCTCCCCCTGAATCCATATTTAATGAATCGATTATATGTGAGATACACATTTCAAATTTTTTTAATATGGATCATTCTATAATGAAAACAAATTACACGTAGCTGTGAATACTGAATTGGGTTTTTTGTCGAGTCCAAACTTAGTGAAAAATCAAATAAAACATAATTGTAACTTTCAAAACACATACAGATGTTAAAAAAAAACTACACAAAAGTCGATTCTAAGTGGATCCGGAATTAGATAAAAAAAAAAAAAAACACAAATATTAAAGATTCACCTGATTTAAATATTGCCAAAAATTTTATTTGTACATTTTGAGCATGAATTCAAGATAAAATTTGAGTCCTCCCCCCCTAGAAGTAAATCTAAATACACTTCTATACCAGACTTGCACGTATACTAGTGGTTGAATGTTGATAGGATTTGGTGATCGATAGTGGTTATAGTTGGTTAAGTTATTTGGGCAAGTTGATTCGCTCATATTAAGGAGTACAGTTAATGTACATATTTGGTAGATACAAGGATATATATTTTTAATTTTATTTAATTGAAATATATTTAATTATACACTTATTTTATACACCTTTACGTAAAATGTGTTCTTCCTCAACCATAAAACACAATTTCTACTACTTTGATAATATATATATATATATATATATATATATATATATATATATATTTAATAAAATATATGATTATCTTTTCTTTTACTTTTACTTAAGCTTAAATCAATATAATATTATAACAACCGAAAAAATATGGATAAATCTTTATACTCAATTATTAATTAATTTATATTATTATTTTATCCTAAATTCCACGTTTAAAAAGTATTGAATTTATTTGGTAATATATATTTATTTTGTAAAATAAACAAAGTATGAAATTATTGTTGGTCATTTTTTATAATTTAATCTAGTTAAATGAATCGCAAATATCACAGTAATGAACTTTTTATAATACATATAATGTACTTAAAACTTAATGCAGTAATTTAATAGGAATGGTCATGGTTCGATGGTATATTTATTTCGCATCAGTGCAGATGATAAAATAAATATTAAAAATATTATTGAATAGAAACAAAACATATTTCGTTTTTGTTTTTTTTTTTTTTTTTTTTTTTTTTTATTATTAATCAGACATATAAATAATGTATAAACGATCTAAAAATAAAACTGATTGATAAGTAATTCGATCTTAAAACACACAAGCTAACTATATAGGCGCTTAAAAGTTTTTAATTTATCTAGAATGTTCCTTTTACTTAATACACTTAGTGAAACAAGATCACACGTATTGTAATGCATTCGAGTTTTAGACATATTCATTTTATCTAATATCACATAAAATAAGTAAATTAATTATATACATCATTATGGTTATTTAAAAAATTAATAAATTGACATTATTTGTGCGCACAGTGAATTTTATAATAGGTATATATATATATTTTTCTCTACTATAGATCATACAATAGTATATACTCATATAGTATAGATATTAGATCTTCCTACTCTATTTATATCATGTAAAAAACTAATAGTTACCATTTGAAATATTTTAATTTGTCAGACAATAATGTCATATCACCCCTGTGTCATAGCATTGGTACCAGGTTTGATTAAAATAATTATACAATACACTGTCCTCATAAAACTGACTTACGAAAACAATATGAATTTGATTATATAAATATTTTAAATTTAATTTCAAAACACTATATACATTACATAGCATTAAGGAAAGACTCTATGTAATCGTTTCTTTCTCAATTTAACATACATTTATTACTATAAAATACTTATTCTGTTGTGTTATATCTTTTACTTTATGTCTAATAATGATTTATGTTTAACTTTTATTTCTGAAGTTTATATTTCATACTTTTTTTTTTACATTTTGTTGTATTTATTCACAGATTATACATTTTTTAAATTTTCTATAATTTATAATTCTAAAGCTCTATACAAATCTGTCATTAATAATTATAATCATATTTATATAATAACCCTAGACTTCCAAGCGAGAATTCTCAGTGAGGCCCAGTATTAATTTTTGAGAAATAAATAAATATTAATATTAAGGTTTTTCTGAAACTAATCAAATACCATTTTTAATACAACTGATTTTTTGTTTAAACGTTTGTGTTCGACCCTGTAAACTCGTTATTTAGACACTTCCTTTCAAAAATGATCATGCCTAATTAATGTATTGAATTAATCTTCAGCTATATTTCAATTGTGTTTTAAAGTACATTGGTCGTATACCAACGATTTAAGCTTCGACGAACATTTTTAAGAAAAACGAGTTTTCGCAACACTGAATACGTATAGTCACATATTTATATATATATATAATTATACCTAGCAATAACAGAGCTTAGTTGTTGAAATTCCCCTTTTCTTTTTTTTTTTACAACTAATTATTTATTACTTGAACTCTGAGGTAGTAATAAATTATCACATAAGTAACACAGTATAATAAATAGGGAAGCCAAAACAAAAAAGGTATGTTATTTCCGTTGAAACCCGATTGAGCACGGTCTCTATTTTGAAACAATCTGATTGAGCACGATCCTTAATATTTAATAGCCCAATTGAACACAGTCAAACGAATGCAACGTTGCCAGTTTTTCTATCCGACTACAACCAGGCTACAAGCGTCTTTTGAAATACTCGTATACGTAATCGTTGTGCTTTATAAGTCGTATGAGAGGTATTTAACCTTAGAGCATGTTGCATGGTCATTATTTTCATTTATGATTTCCCATCTCTTGAAAAGTGGCACGAGTCTAAGGAAAATCGATAAATAATATAAGAGTTGTTTAGGAAACGACATAATCGTAAAATCAAAATAGGTACATCTATGCATTGGCGATTACGATTATCTGTTAAATTGGATATTATTTGTTATCTACACAAAATATAGAAGCGGGCTTTTGTATTTTTAGCTATAGTAACTTAGACTCAATAGTATCAGGCGTTAGTGGTTAGTGGTTGTTTGTCGTTACACGTTACACCGTTTTATTTTAGACATTTTTACTTTTTTTATATACGTCGAACGCGATGGAAATAATGAAATAAAAGTTATTGTATCAGAGCGAGGAAAAGAATTAGCCAATGTTGGAGCTTTTAACTATTGATTTATTGGATTCATAAAAAAAAGCGAGTTATTAAAATAGCGATATACGAAAAATAATTGTACAGCTATGACTTATTCTGGGCCAGATAAAAATATTATTATTAAATCAAGTGGACAACATAATCATGTAGGAAATTCACATAGTAAATTAGAAAGGCAAGTATTACGTGAAAATTTTAAAAAACGTGCTGAAGAGTCACTGTCAACTCAACCTTTAAAATTGATCAGAAACGAAATTTTAATTAATTTAGAACTATCTTCAATTGTTCATAGATTTAAAAACAGTTCTATGTATGATGGACGACGAAAAATACTTCCCGAATTGCCGAAGTCAACGGAAGACGTTTTTTTATTGTTAAATTTAATGAAAACTTAAGAAGATTTTAAGTTTCATGGACAACAAATTCATACATATTCCTGCAGACAATAGTTTTTTATGTATTACTTGTGATTTCAACCTACAATTTATGATTAAATATGATTGTATTGATTTTTTTGTGATTGTACATTTAATTACGCACCTAAATATTTTGTACAACTAGATAGTATTTATGGATTTAAAAATGGTTATTATTTGCCGTTGGTTTGTTTTTTTTATTCAAAAAATCAAAAGATATATATAAATAAATGTGGATATTCCTACAAGACGTATGTATAAAATATATAGGAAGTCAGTTCATAGTAAAAAATTACACGTTGATTTTGAAAAAGCTGCCCACCAAGCCGCGTATGAAGTTTTGGAAAAAGTACAATTAATAGCTTCTCAATTTCATTTAGGCCAATAATGGTAGCAAAAAATAAGTATAAAATAATTTCAAATCAAATAATCATACATTAATTGTATTCTTAATTATTATAGATAAACAGCGATTCTATTCTCAAAATAGCCTATAAAAAAGAAAATGATGAAGTAGGAAATTGGATAAAGTTTTTTTTTGGGTTAGCTTTTATTCCCAATCATGAAGTAGCCGATGCATTCGTCGAACTCATGAGTGTCTTTCCAAATGATAGAGTCTGCTCAGAATTTAGCAATTATATTTTTAATAATTATATAGATGACGAATCTCCATTTCCCTCAAATAAATGGACTAAAGAACCTATGTTTGATCCAAGGTACATCATCCAAAATCTAATTATTAAATACAAAAAAAATGTTAATTTAATTTCAACCTTTTTAATTTAATACAAATTTAATTTGTATATTTTTAGAACAACAAATGCGGTTGAACGTATTCAAATAATTTACAATTCACGATTCTACAAGTCTCACCCACACATACACTTGGTAATTATGGTTTTACAAGAAACTCAAGCTGAAACGATGACGAAAATTCGGTCAATTGAAACTGACTGTCGTAAAAATATGAGTTTTATTGAAATGCAAAAAAAATAACTATCATGGCTTACAATGAATATTTAAAAAATAAACATTCTAAAGATTTACTAAAATATTTATTAAAAGTGGGAAATAATTATTTAGGGATACCAATTTAAAACGTTGACAAGTAATAAAAATTGTATAACATAGTACAAATATTATTTATTATATTAAGTATTTCTTATTTTATCATGCATTTTTTTTTTACATACATTTTTTTTTAAAAAAATGATATTATGAATTACTTCTAACAATTAACTTTTTGATCAATCTGTTCTGAACATGAATTATACATATATTTGTAAAATAATT